CCCAAATAGACCCACACTTAGACACATTATAATTAAAATGACAAAGGTTAAAGACAAAGAGAGAATTCTAAAAGCAGCAAGAGAAAAGCAGTTAGTAACTTATAAGGGAGTTCCTGTGAGATTGTCAGCTGATTTCTAAACAGAAACTTTGCAGGCCAGAAGGGATTGGCACATGGCACAAAATATTCAACATGATGAAAAGCAAGGACCTACAGCCAAGATTCCTTTACCCAGCAAAGCTATCATTTGGAATCAAAGGACAGATAAAGAGTTTCCCAGACAAGAAAAAACTAAAGGAGTTCATCATCACCAAAGGATCTTGGACTGATTTAAGATGAAGAAAAGAAAAGATCAAAATTGTGAATAATGAAATGGCAATAGCTACATATCTATCAACAATTACTTTCAGTGTAAAAGGATAAATGTTTCACTCAAAAGACGTAGGAGAGCTGAATGGATAAGAAAAAAATACACCCTATATATATGCTGCCTACAAAAGACTCATTTTAGAATGAAAGACACACACAGATGGAAAGTAAAGGGATGGAAAAAGATATTTCATGAAAATGGAAATGGAAAAAACAAAAAAAGCTGGAGTAGCAATACTTATATCAGACAAAATAGACTTTAAAACAAAAGCTGTAACAAGAGACAAAGAAGGACCTAGTAATCCCATTCCAGGGTATTTATCTGAAGAAATCCAAATGCTACTTCGAGGGGACATGTGCATCCATATGTTCATGCAGCATCATTTACAATGGCCAAGATGTGGAGACAGCCTGGGTGTCCATCGATGGAAGAATGGATAGAGAGGAGGTGGTACAAATATATATATATAATAGAATATTGCTCAGCCATGGAAGGGAATCGGTTCTTGCCATCTGTGGCAGCATGGATGGACCTGGAAGGTACTGTGCTGAGTGGAGTGTCAGACAGAGAAAGACAGATGCAGTGTGATTTCACTTATATGTGGAATCTAAAGAGCAAAATAAACAAACAAAACAGAAACAAATTCTTAGATACAAAGAACATTTTGGTGGTTGCCAGATGGGAGGAGGATTAGGGGTGAGTGAAAAGTGGGGAGAGATTAAGAAGTACAAACTAGTAGTTACAAAATAGTCATGGGAATGTAAAGTAAAGCACAGAGAATATAGTGAATAATACGGCAATAACTATGTATTGTGCCAGGTGGTTACTAGACTAATCAGAAGGATCATTTCTTAAATTATACAAATGTCTAACAACTATGCTGTACACCTGAAATTAATATAAAATAATATTGAATGTCAACTGTAATTGAAAATTTTTAAAAGGGGGGAAAAGGAGAAGTGGAATAAGAGGTTCAAATTTCCAGGTATAAAACAAATAAGTCATGGGGATGTAAAGCACAGCATGGGGAATATAGTCAGTACTACATGATAGCATGCTACTGTGTAAGCTGGTTGCAGGACTTCTCACGATGATCACTTCTTTAGGTATAAAAATGTTGAATAACTATGTGTATACCTGAAACTAATATAATATTGTATGTTAGCTATATTTTAACAAAAATCTTTTTTTAAAAAAAGGCAAGTCTGGGAAAATATATTCACATTTGTTGTATCTTACAAAGTTCTCATCCGTATTTATAAAAATCTCTTATAAATCCACATTTACAAACAACAAAATTTAAAAATGGACAAAAAACACAAACAGACATTTCACAAAAGTAGATATATGGTTGACAAATAAGCATGTGAAAAAATGCTCAGTAACATTAATCACCAGGGAAGGGCATGAAGGAAATTTCCAGTATGAAGGAAATGTTCTATATTTTGCTTGAGGTGCTGTTTACAGAGGTGCATATTTTGGCAAAACTGATTGAACTTTACACTTAAGATTTATATCTCACTGTGTGTATATCTTATCTCAAATCAAGGAAGTGCAAACAGGTTGTATTTTTTCTAGCTGATTTGTTGCTATTCTAGCATTTGTATTTGAGAGTAGATTTGTTATTGTTTATTTTTTTTGTCATTGTTTCATTTATTCAGCATTTTCTATGTACCAGGCTTTGGGTTTTAGAAAAAACAATCTGTCATCAGTTTGATTATGACTGGGGGAGCTTGTTGAGTGTAGGATGCAATGGGGCCAATTCATTTAGGAGATTATAGCATTAACACAGACAATAGATCACTGGGGCGTGAACCAAGGAGTTGACATTCAAGATGGATACAAGGAAAAAGGAAAGGGGAAACTGATTTAAGAGAAATCTGGAAGGCCTACTCAATTGGCTTGATTAGAATTGGAAGACAGAATAAGGAAACACAGTAGAGGGGAAAATACAGGACTTTTAGATTCCTGTCTTAAGGCACTGAAGATGAATGATGGTGTCCAGTAATCAAGAAAGAAAATGTCAGAGGGAATAGGTTAGGGCAGGAAATGGGTATGGGTAATGGGCTGATAGATGATGATGGGCCCAGTTTTGCACAGATTGAGTTGAAGTACCTAAGGGAGACCCAAAAGGAGAGGTCAAATAGGCAATTGGGTATAACATCGGAACACTGAATCCTAATTACTTTCTGCTTTGCAGTAGAAATTTTGGTTGGTCCCCGTGTATTCTTTTTCAATCTCAGCTGTAAAATGGACTTAATTCTTCTGATTCTTTTCACCAAAATATTCCAAGGTTAATAGCAAAATTTTGACTTGGTTTGTATTTTAGGGGAAAAAAATTATCCCCAAGCTTTAGATCTAGCTTTGTTAGGAGCTATCACGGTGGGAGTACAAAGTCTATGGGTTTTGGAATCAGGCTGGCCTTGATTCCAATCCTTGCTCTCCCATTTAGCAGCCAGGTGATCCTGGATAAATTAATTTATGCGTATCAGCCTCAATTTCTTCTCCGGCAAAAGAGGATTAAGAATCCTATTTTGCAGCAGTGCTGTGATAATTATGAGAGCTACTGTGTGGGAAAGCACCTCTCTGAGAACCTGGCATCTAGTAAATGCTTACTATATACCCACGTACCAGTAGCCTTCCTTTCAGATAATGAAGGGATGATATTTCACCAACAAAATAGCCCTAGGTAAAAGCGTGAAGTTTGACAAACCCTGGACCCCATCCCTCTTCCAAGTCCAGGCTTTTCTCCCCTCTTTTCATCATCAAAATCAACTCTCAGGAGAGGATGTGACATCAGTCATTTGCCTCTCATTGTTAAGAGCTTACATCATCCCCTGCCTTACCAGGGAGACCTCACATTCCAAGCCTTTTATGTAACAATAGAAACAATGGCTTTGTGTCTGGTTAAAGGCTCAGTGTGCTTTTTAAGAAGGAGGCTGTGCAGAGCAGGGTCCATTTCCTGAAGCTCCCGAAATCCTACCTATGAGAGTAGCTCATTCCTTCTTCTCTGTCTCAGAGTTAGTACTTTTAAAGCAAAGGAGTCCCCTAGTTCACCATATCTAGTGCACAGACGACCCAGCTAGCCCTGTGCAGCTTCAGTCTCCACCTGCCTCCTTGTCTAATCACCTCCCTGGCTGTGTAGTTTTAGTTTGGATTTCTATTATTATGTTATTAGGAGTTGTAATTCTCCATAAGAAACAAATAAGGGAAAGGGGAGTATTTGTCTACATTTACGACTCTTTAAGCTAAATGTCTGCAGGTTAATTAAATTGAAAAGTATTCCCCCTGGGATGTACCAGGTCCCTGGTGGTCCAACAAGGTAATAAAACCATGGTGAAACTGAAAGCATTAGCGCGTGGTGCTTTATTCTCATCAGCGATGGCATCCAAATACAAATTTAGTCAATTATTGGGTGATTCAGAATAGGTTTTCTGGGAATTTAATTATCAGAATGGTCTGTGTGGGCACCGTGGTGGCTCTGGGGCAAATGAACTTGAGTCGTCCAAGGGCCAGTGGTCCTATGTCCTGACTGAACACATTTACCCAGAAAGTTACTACTGAACAAAAAACCCTGCTCTGGTTTTATTAAAGAAAGTGTACCACAGAAGCAACCTCTGTTATGAGTGTGTGTGTGTGTGTGTGTGTGTGTGTGTGTGTGTTTAAATCACCTCATTTTCTTTGTTTCTCCAACCTCCCTCTGTTAATTCGTTAGTCTTTGTAAGCATCTTAAATTCCTCCAAAACAATAGGACTGATGTTATCAGATCCGGCAACAATGAAATCAATAAAGACTTTGGAGGGGAGCAAGAAGAAAGGTACAGGGGAATGGCAATTCTTCTGACTGAAAAGCAATCTAGCCCATTTTTAATTTAATTTGGAGGGCCATTATTTCAGGATTCCAAATGCGAAGGCCGTATTAATCATGCACATCCCATGTCTTATTGAGCTGTGGCAGAAAATTACTCTTTTTTTGTGACCCTGAGTTAGCAAGGACATGCTGGGCAAACAGCCAAGGTTCTATAAGCTCAATAATAATAATAATGATCTGTACTTAAAGTTACCGTGATGACTATTAGCCATTGGCTCTCCTGATAGGAGGAGTGTCACCTCTTCAAAACCTGTAGCTGTTTGACTTAGCACTTTCTTTAGTGAATGAGAAATATCACCAAATAAGCTTATCTTTCTTGCATGGGTGGAAAGAAGGAATAAAACAAACGCTGTAAAGGAAAGCTGTGAAGTAACTAAAGATACAAAGGAAAAGTGGGTGGTGGGTGGGGAGAAATTTGTGGAAAAAAATGAAAAGAGACTAACCTTGCAAAGGAGGGCAAAAGCCTCCCTTTCCTAGAGAGTTGTCTTAGGGTGTTCGATGCACTGCAGATTTATTGTGAACCCATCTGCTTTTCAGCAAAGGAAAAGTTATTTGGTGACCTACTTCCTATAGGACAGCAAAGAGACATTAAATCCCAAAGAATTTTATTCTGCATACTAGGCTTGGATTCTCTTTTCTAATAGCTATCATTTATTGAATTCATATTGTACGTAGGGAGTTCACAAGTTCATTGCATACATTAGCCTTGTCTCATTTTTTACTGCAAAACCTGCACTGTATATATTTTCCTTATTTTATAGATGAGAAAACTGAACCTATAAGAGGAAATATGTAACAAGAGGAATTTTGACCTGGAGTTCCAAGCCTGCTACTTCTTATTCTGTATCACCATGCTTTTTTCAACAACTCGTAAAGGTACTTTATTGTTGCTGTTTGTTTGTTTTAAAACAGAGTTCAAACCTGGCCTTCCAAAATATGTTTTTCTTGAGTTAAATATATATCTAGGTTCTTAAATAAGTACAGAGATGTCTGATCATTTATTTTCTCTTTTTCAGAGTGCTCGAAATATTTCAGTTTAATTTTAAAGGCATAACTAGTTACAAAGGAACTTAAAAGTGGCTGTCCGAGTGGCACATTGGTTAAGAGCTGGCTTGGGACGCCAGCTCTGAGCAGCAGGGCCCCGGTTCGGATCCCACATGAGGGCCAGTGACACTGCCCTCTACAGCTAAGATGGTGAACAACAGCAGCTCAACCTGGAGCTGGGCTGCGGTGAGTTGCCAGCGATGGCGTAGGCTGCAGCCCCTGCTGCAGTTGGCTGCCATAAGCTACCGTGAGTGGCCAGCAGCCAGCATGAGTGGCCGGCAGCTGGTGTGAGCTGCCAAGAGCTGCCATGAGCGGCCGTCCAGAGGCCGGCGACCGATCTGCCTCACCTGGGAAGAGCACAATGATAATACCAACATGGGCCAGTGAAGCAACATCCTCCACAACTAGACTGAAGAACAAAAGGACAGCAATTTGTCTGTTTCCCTTCCCCTGACTCCCCAATAAAATCTTTTTTTAAAAAAAAAAGGACCTTAAAAGATAGGCATGAGATCAGTTTGAAGACAGATTCTCCTGAAAGTCTTAGAAATTAGCTACCAGGGAAACATAAATGGTGGACTGGAGGACACTTCATATATCCTATGCTAGGCCAGCTTGTGCTAGAAGGTTCTATGAATTCTGAAACCCGTTGTTCTCAAAGTCACAGACGTACCTCCTCTGTGCCTCGTTAGAAAATTGGATTACTGGTCTTAGTCATTATCTCATTTTGCAGAATGGTCAAGGATGAATAAAAAATATTAGCAAAATACTAATTGTTAAAAAGATATGAACAAGTTTTGTTTTGTTTTTCTTTAACTACTTCAAAAACATTAAATTCTTCAACGTAGCTTCTAGGGAATGAGGACACAAGACAGTCAATACTTCAGAGTCCCCAGTAAAATGGGAGTGTATTATTGACCCTGAGGAGCACAGAGTTTAATTTATTTGCAAAAAATCACCTCCTGCCATATGCTCTGGGTGGAAAAGAAATTATGTTAAGCCTCATGAGAAAACAATCACTCCCCTCCCTCCACATGCTGCCCCCACCCATCTCCATTTGCTTTGTGTGTGTGTTGGTAGAAGGGTTGGATCCCTGGAAGCCATGAAGGCGAGATGTTTAAGTATGCTTGAGTATATTGGAGTTTGTGTGTCCATGAGAGAAGACATAGGGGTCAAGAAGAGTATTGGCAATACGGATGACAGCCAAGCACATTTTGCAGGCCCAGAGGAATTTTTGCTGGCTATCTATCTCTCTATCTATCACCTATCTATCCATGATTTGCAAGGCTGAGTAAATTGAATTACTCAGGGTTGATTGTATAGTAGATTAGTAGGCAAGCCCAGAAGGTCAACTTGTTCACCACTACAAGTACAATTCTTTTTTCTCCACTGGAAATTATTCTTCACAGAAATTACTCCCATCTTCAATCCAATCTATAAAGATTATGGTATTTTCTCAAATTAGTCCCAATAACTCAAATAAAAAAACACTAAATTTAAGTCATAACTGGTTGACATTTGAATTTCAAATTCACAAATGGACTCATGGAGAAGCTTTCTGGTTTTAAAAGATTCTTTTAAATTGCATTTTGGAATGAGATACACATATAGTGGATAACAGTTCTTTTTTTTCTTGGTTATCTAGAATCCACCCCAATTCCCTTTGGGGAAAGTATATTTACCTCAAGGTGTATAATCTGGGTGAGACTGTAAATAAAGACTCTTCAGCTTCCCTTAAATAAGTGACAGAAAAGCCAGGTCACCAAAGCCAGGTCAGTCCGAGCCTCCCTCCTAAATACCTTGAGGGTGGCATGTACCCATCTTGGCAGTGGTGGCTGGTGAGGTGGTTGAGTATATCTTGAAACTGAGAACTCTACAGCAATCTGGTTCCTTTTTCCCCCTCCTTAGTCCAGTTCCTCAGTATTCCCTTCACTCTATGAGCCTTCCTCAATGGTTCCCCAGCCCTTTATAAATTCCTATTTTGTTAAGTTAGGAAAAAAAAATTAATAAAAAAAATAGGTTAGCCAGAATCCATTGCTTTTGCTTGCAACCACATACTTTAGTAGACGATCTTAAGACACTAAGATGAACTGGAAGCAATGATGTTAATTTAAGACCAAGGTCTGACTGAGCCAAGGATGTGGATGACTTGTTTTAAAACTTCTGCTTTGCTCTCATTTCTCCCGTATTTCGTTTTAGAAACATCTGGGGGAGAAAAAAATTACAGTGGAATCTCATAATTAGTCACAAAATCTCTTGAAGAAGTAGTCAAGACTTAAACTTCTCTAGTATTTGCCTTTTTGCATCTTATACCTAGATGGTAGTCTCAGTAACCAAACCAATTCTGATATAAAAAGCAAATAGAATACATCACTTAATAAAAAAATAAGACCAAGTTAGATTTTCATCTGATATTTTTCATCAGTGTCCCTTCAAGAGGCAACATTGGGAAATTATGAATGAGATGAATTTTGAATTCTGTATCAGACCATGCCAATTCTCTAGCTTTGCAAATTTCAAAACCTGTTCCAAATTAAGTATTTCATTATCTTTAATGTGTCTTCTAACCTGATTCAGACTCTAGGATCCATTTTGTAATTTGGGCTCATTCATAATTTACTTTTAGGAAATTATTATATGAATAACAGCTGGAGGAAATCATCCGCCCTGCTCTGCTCTAAGAATAGGTAATATAGGTGACATTATGAGGTAATAACAGCAAGTTAGCACAGGCTTCCTTGGGTGCTCAGATAACAAGCTACTTTGGTAACATAGTGGCTGAGGCCAAAGGAAAGGAAGTAGAAAAGGGAGCTAATATTTATTGCACACATACTCTTTGCCAAGCTTTATGTTAGCAATTTATTCTCCCTATTTTTTAAGAGAAGAAAACTGAGGCTTAGAGATACTGAATAACTATGTTTCATAAATAGTTATTGAAGATTTACCAGGCACCGTGCTAGGCCCTGGAGATACAAAGACAACTAAGATAGAGTAATAACTGGCAGATCCATGAATTAAACTCAGGTCCATCTGTCCTCAAAGCCTAGGCTCTAACTTCTATGCCTCCCATGGAACACCCCGTAGGCTCCTGACGTGAAAATGAAACCTAGCACCAGGATAGAGCCTCTTTTTCTAATGTTTTAGCATCAAGAAAACAAATTCTTGGGAATTTTTAAAATCAGAACCATTTCCAGGCGCAGCAAAAGTATTTTATAATTCTCAATCTTATGATTTTAATTTTCCCAAGATTCCTATAAAGTTGAGAACATTACCACACTCAATTTACATATAGAAGAAGAAAACAGAGCTTAATGAGATTACATAATGAAAGTCCTAGAACAAACAAGAAAAACAAAATGGTTCTCTGGGTTTAACACTGGACAAGATAGCGAGTTAGCACAGCTTATTGGCTTCCCCGCTGCAACTCAAACTTGGAGACACAACATGTGAGTATAAGAAGCTAACGGAACACAGAAACTTGGTAATTTACCACTAACTGCAAGTAGCCCTTGGGAAGACCAAAAGCGGCAAAGACAGCGTTGGAAAATGGGTCAGAGATCAAGGAAAGGGAATGATGGGGGAACAGCTTCCTCTGCTCCATGTTTGTTGTCTTGGCCAATCCCTGTTCACACACTGCTGCCGGAAAGCAGGCGCATGTCAGTCAGAGGTGGCATAGTCTCGGGCAGTAATGGAGCCAGTAGACCACTGGGAATGTGAAACAAAATGTCCAATTGGAGAACTGTTAGAGTTCAGAATATCAAGAACTCAATGGGTAGGTTGACTAGCAGAGTGAATGAGCATAGCTGAAGAAAGAAAAATCAAGCAAGGATTTTATATAGGAATGGCTAATGCAATGGGAGAAAAAAGGGTGGATTTGACCGCATAAAATTTAAAGACTTTCATTTTTCAATAGACAAATCAGCAAAATATTGGGGAAAAGGTATTTGCAAAAGTGATGTGGGATTGATGTATAAGATATATAAAGAACTTTGTAAATGAGCAAGAAAAAGAGAGGAAATCCAAAAGAAGAAAAAATGGGCAATGGACATGAACAGGCAATTGACAGATGGGGAAATGGAAACAGCTACTAAGTATATAAAAGATATACATAATCATTAGTAATCAGAGAAATGCAAAGTTTTTTAAATGAGATACCATTTTTATACTCACCAGATGGGCAAAAATTAGAAAGTGCTGGCAAGGATGTGGGGAAGTTTTACCGTCACTGGTAGTGAAATTATAAATTGGTGCAAACATTCTTTCTGTATAGCAATTTGAAAGGGAAATAAAATAGGTGCATACCCTCACAACTCAGAAATTCTATTCCTCCTGGGTATAAACTCTAGAAAATCTGTTGCTCAGAGATCCACAAGGAAACATGGTGATAGAGGATTATTGTAGCATAACTTGTGGTGCCAAAAGTTGGAAGCAATCTTGGTATCCACTAGGGAATCTAGGTATCTACTAGCTATCCACCGGGAAATGAATAAGTAAAATGTGCAACATGCAAGAGTTAGAAATGGTATATGCATGTACTGGAATAGCCTGCAGGACTAAGAAGCAATGAGAAAAATGTATAGGTGTCAAAAGCACTTTGTTCAATAAAAAATAAGAAAGAGATTGAGATTTATACCACATTACTATCTACATAACTTTAAAAAGCATATGTAAATGAGACATACAATTTTCTAAATAAACATATGAAATGTGGATTAGGAGAACCTATGTAAACCACTCTTGATAAGGCGATGACAGGAGGACCAGGGAGGGGGAGGGTAGGGGATGGGGACCAAGGCAGAAACAAAAGAAAATAAGATGAAATAAAATAATAAAATAAAACAGGGGCCTTACAAGGTTGAGAGTGCTTCACTAATTGTCTCAACCCTGTATATTTAAGATAATAAATAAACAGCAATTGGAGTCCCTCTAACAATTCTCTCTACTTTAAAAAGTGGTCTGGTCAGAAGGTATGTTTTCAAGTTCTTGAAGAAGTCCAGCAGCAGAAAGCAAACTAGAATTGAAGAAAACAGTTTCCCGTGTAGATTCTCTTGGCTTATTTATATGCTTTTATATACAGCAGTGGGATCTAGCAAGTGATTCTACAGGTTTTGAAACAAGTTTCCTGCAGATGAGTGAGTGAACAGTGGCATTTGTGAGAGTGAAATTGTTTTCTCTTTGTTCGCACAAACGTGACCATCATTTGAGGACTAAATACTCGATCCAACAGCTCCATGTTTCTGACCAGATATAGCTGATTGCCAGGAAATGTTCAGGCTAAGAACATTCCTATGCAAGTCCGGCAGCTCCAAATCTTGGTCTTCTTTTAAAACAAATAGAGACCCTGAGAAGGGCATGAACCCTAAGCAAGTAGAAAGGTCAGATGGAACGTCAAAGGTGGCACCTCAAATAACTTTAATTAGTCATCTTCCTATTCATTATGGGGAACAATTATTGTAATGGGATGGCATTGCCCTCTTTATTTGGAATCTGTGCTGTTTATTAATAAATGAGACCTGTGCTGCAAAATAGTGTTTTGATGTGTTTTTTTTTTCCAAGCAGATCTTCAACATGAGCAAGAGTCTCCCTAGCTCTGGAGTTCTAATAATAAAAAGTGAGATGAGACCCCTTTGCATCTGGCTCCACTCTATTCTGAGCTACTTAATATACTAGTGCCAGCTCTTTGCCACAAGACGTATATTTAGCATATTGGAAGAAAAACCAAAAGCAAGGATTTTGCATAAGAGCTAATCTGATAATTACACGGGTACCCAAAAGCCAGACAGTAAGGGATAGTGAAAACAATATAATTAAATAACCTTGAATGAGACAGAAAGCCCAAAGGAGAGGAGACTGGATGCTGAAGACATTTTATCAAAGAAGAAAATCGAAAGAAGAATTTGATGCAGAAACACATTGACTCTCAGAAGATGGATGGGAGTTAATAATCCCAAATCTTCCCCTTGACCCAGTGTTCAGTTTCCAGCGAGAATTCAAATTGTGATTCTAACTGAAAACAGAACGGTAAGGAAGATCGGGGAGGAGTTAAATTTTAACAACATTCCAGGCCAATTCTTCTAATTCCTGAGGCCTGGGAATGGAGAGCAGCCATGAGAAATGTGGGATCCCTAAGAATGGCATTCTATAAATACCAATTATTTTCAGTTAACATTGTTTTTTGTTTTTTTTGCTATCAGCACAGCATTTCCATTTGCCAAAGTCTTCAGCTATTTCTGAAGCTGCCCAAATGATGCCCCAAGGAGCTGGCCATCATTACCTCCAGGTCCCAGGTGGTGCGTCTGGGAGGGTAAGTGAGTCACCCCAAGCCACAGATTTCATTTGGAGGCATCAGGTGCCAAGATAGGATTCTCTCTCCAAGTTTCTGACTCTTTGTACAGCAAGTAAACCTTTCCAGGATAAAACATATCATAAGACATCTGCTGTTTAAACAGTCAGAGAAACTCCCCCGGACTGTGCAGACCTCTTGAGATGTAGCATCTACCATTAGAGGTACCCAACACATGTTCTTTATGATTCCCTTGGATAACGTGGGGTGCACATCATGTTTATTCAGCAGAAGGGACAAGAGGCTTGTTTAAAGAACCAGCATTGAATAGGTACCAGACCTTCCAGGTCACTAGCAAGATAGAGACATGTCATAAACAGACACATTGGTTCTTAAAGGGTACCTGTGTCACGTAAGGAGCCCAGCAAACTGCTTACTCTCCTGAGAAGGCAGCGTGATGTGGATAGGAAGAGTGTAGACCTTGGAATTAGACTTCACTTGATCCTTGTTCTCCACCACTTACTAGCTGAGTGACCTTGAGCTTCATTTTCCTTGTCTGGAAAGAGAAGCAGGTTCCAATCGAATAGGGCTGTTATATGTGCTTCCCCGCCCCCCCCCCNCCCCCCCCCCCATCCCAAACTTGTAACCTTTAGAACCTCAGGATATAACTTTGTTTGGAAAGAGAGTCTTTGTAGATATAGTCAAGTTAAAATGAGATCATTAGGATTGGCTCTAATCCCATATGACTGTTGTCCCTATAAAAAGGGGATTTTTGGACACGGACAGATGATCACAGAGAACACCATGTGAAGATGGAGGATTGGAGTAATGGATCTACAAGCCAAGGGAGGTCAAAGATTGCTGACAAATCACCAGACGCTAGAAAGAAGCAAGGAAGCATCCTTCTACAGGAGTCAGAGGGCGCACAACCCTGCCTTCATCTTGATTTCAAACCTCCAGCTTCCAGCTCTGTGAGACAACACATTTCTATTGTTCTGAGACACCCAGTTTATGGCACTTTTATACTAGCCTGGAAAATTAACTCATGCAAATATTCAAAGCAATTATTTATGTAAAGCCCATAGAGGGTCCTCAATAAATTCAAGTTCTCTTCTTCAAAGAAAAGGATTTATACACTGGAAAGCAGACAAATACTGCTCACTTTCTCTCTTAAAACTCCACTATGGTCTGACCACATGGCAGATATGGGCCTCTGAATCTAATAGAGCAGCCTTAAATTCTACAGATCAGTGCCAGAGATTATCTGGTTTCCTCGGGGATCTCTGGGTGAGAAAGGCCTGAGGACTGAGCCAAAATTCCTAGGTCTGAACTGGAGCAGAGGAACTCCTGACTAGAACATAAACTGCCCTTGGTTGGGAAGAGCTGGGATGCTTTTCTCCAAAGGACACTGAGACATACTGTCAGGCCAAACCTAACTCCTACACTCTGGGTTCCACCCACCCCATAGCTGGAGACTCTCCAGGCTTACCCACAGACTCAGCCTTTGCCAAGGTCTTGGCCCTATAACCTTAAAGAAGCACCTGCTTTGAGGGGCCGTTGGCTGCACTGGTTGAATATGGACCCTGGATCTGGATTGCTTGGGTTTAATCCCAATTCTGCTACTTGCTGTGTATCCTTGCGCAAGTTACTCTCTAAGCCTCAGTTTCCTCCTCTAAAAAATGGGTACAATGATAATAGTACCTACCCGTTGGGCTTATTGTAAGGATTAGTTGACACAGCTAAAGCATATAGATTGGTGTCAGCTATGTGGTCAGTACTATATAAGTGTGTGCTATTATTGCTCCTACTGTTGTCATTAAGATCTGATCCCTGCCTGCTCTCCAGTATTGGCAGCTAGTTCCTAACCCTAGGCCTGAAGCCCTGGTCTTGATAGCTTGCCTAGTATTTAGTTTTTCTAGAACTAGGACCTAGACTAGACTCTTTCTACAATCTCAACCCATTGTCCTGGGAACGAACCCAATGCCTGTGGCCCTGCTGTCTCCCCAAAGACATCTCTGATGTTACCCACCTGCCAGGAAGTTGACATGCTTTGAATTCTCTAATCCTGGGCTCCTCCCTCTCATGGTGTCATCTGGTGATACGCTGTTAACCCCTCCAGTGATGGCAAATGGTTGGGCTGTTATTTGCCACCTGCCAGCCAGAACAGACTTGCTTCATAGCTCAGCAGCTGGACTGCCCCCTGAAAAATCTGCCCAGACACCCACAAGCAGGCTGGATGCCTCCTGCTTGCTCTAACTTCCTGCGGTAAATGGAGTCATGTCTAAATTGAGACTGGGTGTTTCCACACCCCACCAAAATGGAGTATATTCGCTTTGACCACAAAGCTTCTAAAACATTAAAAATATGTGGGGGCTACATGGGCACTTGACAATGTCTATTTAGTAATGACAACCCCATCATTCCCAAGGTATTACATTGGATTGTACCAAATCATAAGATTAAACAGAATAGGAAGGTCAACATTTGTAAGACTTTATAAAAGTTTCATTTTGCAATAGTCATTCTTTCTAACGGCTTCAATTGGTGGCATTTAGAAGAAACAAAAAAACATCAACAACAAAAGTCGAAAGATCAATCTTTCTGATCCTCATTTCCTCAGAATGACTCTACCTATAAAGTATTAATTAGTTAAGTTCTACAAATTGAGATCCAGGGAACATGTAGGGAGTGAGGCTTGTTAAGCTGACTTTGACAAGTGCTCATTATGTTTCAAGCTCTGTGCTAATTGCTTCACACAAATAATATAATTGAATCCTCATAATAAACTTGTAAATTAGGTACTATTATAAGTCTACGTTTGCTTTGTTTTTTTACAGATAAGGAAACTGAGGCACGAAAGAGGTGAAATAACTTGATTACAATTGAAAACCTACTTTAGATGAGATTTGAACTGAGGTCCAAGTGCAGACACTAAGCTTAAGAAATAAATCTCTTCTACATTATGTCTTCCTTTTCCAATTGATTTTGGTTCCTACAGCATGACAGTGTCCAACGAGGTCTGCTCCTTCCAAATGTATTCGGTGACATTTGCTTGTGAGCGCCATAGCCAGCAAACACTACCCTCATTGTCCCCAGCATAATGCAAAGTCACCGTGGCCCTGGGCAGCACAGGCAGCAAGTTGCTTTTCAGTTTCATTAACTAACCTTGAGGGAAGCCGGGATGGGGAAAACACTGGAGTTCCAGTTCTCCCAGCCAGCAGCCAGCCTGGACCATGGACAGAGATGGAATGTAGCTGAGGCCTGTCTCAGGTGATGAGTCACCTCTGGATGAGGTAGGCCCTGAAAGGTGATCTTTAGAGAATTTGAGTACAGTGATGAAAATGAGAGTGGAGGAGGGACCTGGGTGCAAATTTTTAGGAAGGTAGGCAGGAAACTGGGGCAAAAGCTTTCCCTCAAATGAAAGAAGAAAATGGCTTTAGGAAGGTGAGTCTCTACCCCATTCCTGTTCCCTCCTCATCAATCTATCCCTAAGTAATCTTCAGGAAATCGGAGTGGCTGCTTCTTTTTCCCTGGCAATAACGGGAATTCCAACTACAGGCCAATTAGAACACACCCGGAACTGCCAGTAAAATGTTTCACTGACTTTATTGGTTTCATAAAACAAGTGAAAGGAATCAGAGACAGTCCAGAGCCTTGCCAAGATGTGAATCTCTTTGTGAATTAGACGGAAGGGGTGGGGGTGGGGGTTGGGGGGCACCTGCGCTCCTGATCTGTCTTCCTTCCTCCAATGCGCTGTTTTAGCTGCTGCCACTTACGCAGGGTCCTGTGGTGTCATGACCACCAGCTCACCACACAGACCTGAGCTGTAGGCCTTACTTCCCTGAATAGCTGAGCTTCAGTAGTTGATCTGTGTCCCTGGAGGATTCACTTCTTTTTTTTAAATTTTTTTCTGAGCCTCAGTTTCCTCATTTGCCAGTTTCAGGTGATGCCCTTGTATACCGATCTCAGGCATAGGTAGTATAATGTAAGATCCTAGAACATCACCCATCACTTAGAAACGAAAAGGACACTCGTCATCCCTTTCTCCATCCCCATGCTACACTTCTGTGTTGGTTTTCTTGCAGTGTTTCAAGCCTAGGCATAAATTATCCTTGCTTCTATTGACTCCCTCTTGCAAGTGCTGCGTGTGTGTATTTGGGAACGTGCGTGCCCAGCATGTCTGTATCCTTGTCATTCTTTCTTTGTTCTTTCCCGAGGCTTCTGTGAGAGTAGCAAACGGAATGGAATGTCCTTGTCCAGTCCCTCCCCCTCTCTAGGCCAGGGCTGGACCACCTACAACCGACCCCCTCTCCATCCATCTCCCTTCCCCCATCCTCGTCAGTGCAGGTGAAGAAATGAAAACTGAGGAAGAGCGATTCGATTATTTGCCTGACGTTTGCCAGTGCTGGAAAGTGTGTAGATCCACGTGCTTTCCTCCAAAGCCCCTTTGGGGCTTTTCTGAACAGGTCCCCCAAGGAGCCCTTCTGCGGCTCTGTCCAATCAGCCTCCGAGGGCTGGACTTGGTTCAAAACCGGTTGGGCGCTCCCCGCAGCCACCCAAAACCCTGCCTTTATCCCACATTGTGTTCATTACAAACAACAATTACTGACAGTAATTAGTTGCCCAGAAAAACAAGGATATTGTCTTTGCTCAGCTTGACTGAAAAGGCGCATGAGCAAACCCGTATTGTGCTTACACAATAAAGTACATTTGAAAATCCCCTTTAGAATCCAGGAAAACATGACCCTGGCCACTTCCTTATATGTAGAACCAATTCCCCTCTTTATTAAGCTGGATTTCCCTTTGAGGTACATTGCAAATGCTTGGAGATAAACTTGTCTTTAAAAAAACTAATCAAATCTTGTCATTTGATTAGAATTAGTTTACCACACACCATTTCTTGGGTTATAAGGCTTCAGGTGGCCTTGAAGTTGTCCATATTGAAGCAAAAGCAACAATCAAATGTGAGGCTAGAGAGGGAAAGGGTGAAAAGTTGGGACTATTTAAACCACTGGAGAGGTTGGGAAGCCAACTTACCAAAATAGCAGTATCAAAAAAAAAAAATCTGAAAAACAAATTCACCACCAAACAGTTTCTACTGCTCCATTTATTTCAACTAGTGTGGTATTAATAGAACGCCTAACAGCAGGGAGTTGGAAAATAAATGTATTCTCACTCACAGGGGAATGACTAAATGACTCACAAATGCAAAAATAAATAAATGGTTCCCTATGAAAATCTGAAACTATATTACCCTGACTGAAACAACTAAGCTTTTTAACTGTAACCTAACATGTTAAATTCAATCAGTTTTATTTGAGGCCATAGATAGACCGAGCGATCAATCTCCATTATCCTGGGCTCTTTTTCATCTTCACAGTGCTATTTTTTTTCCTACAAGACATTTCAGTTCATTTCCTTGAGCCCTCTTCAGTTTAATGGCTGATTTTCAGACCAAAAAAAAAATTCCCCCTTTCTCTAGAGGAAATGGGAAAAATAGAGCAATGAAAAAAAAAAAAGAAAAAAAAGTAAGAAAGGCATGTTTTTAATTCTATGTAGTAAAGAGAAGGAAAGAGGACACCTTGTGAAAAAAAACGGTAACAGGTAGATAAATAATGTGTGTTATAGCTTGTTTCAAATGCTATGTTAAATGTTAACAGGTGCTGCCTCCTGACACTATAAAAAGATCCACTTTTTGTCTCCTTTGTAATTTGTGAACAGGTAGGCCCTGAGGACTTAAATGAGGTCATGCCAATTAACTCACTGGATTCCTGCAATCAGAGTGATAATGACATCCTTAGCAACCATCCTATCACTATGACACCAACCCGCTGCTATCAAAACTCTTCATCTACACTAGTTTTAGGTTAGTTGGCCGAAGCTATGATCCTGAAATCCACAGATTGAGAATTTGCGTTAGCCACCCCTCTTCCATCTCACCCAGAGGCATGAAATCTTTCCTCTCTCAAAAAAAAAAAGGAGCATGAAGAACAAAATTTTCACTGGCTCCAAAAGTTGAGGATTGGGCCTTTTCCCAAACACAACACAAATCATCAGATGGCTCTTTGGAATCATCCCCTATGAAGAGAAGCTAATGAATTTTATCTTTCAACATTATCCACCCGATTACACTGTACAGACATACTCCTTGCCTAAGAACTGCTTGTTACTGGACTGCCTTTATCAATAAAAACTTTATCAGTTACTTTACAGGATGACAATTGATACACCAAACACAGCTAAACAAAAAACATAAGAAACACCTAAGGGTTTCTTCCCCAGAGTACTTTAAATATTTTTAGTTCTCTGGAGATAAACTGAATACATATAACAAAGAGGAGGGAGATCAGGAATATATAGTCAAAAAATGTGCTGGGTGGGCAAATTTATCTCAACTTCTCTAGGTATAAGCATTATAATTTGAGCCACCATTTATTATATTGAGTTTCTCCTATATGCCCCTTGCTATATTGGTCACTTTGGGACATCCATAAAAACCTAAGACACTTGAGTGTCTTTATTTCAAGGAACTTAAGATCTATTTGGGAAGAGAGACAGAGGGGCATCTGAACAGCAATGACAACAAAAATCTATTTGAGAAGAGAAGTCTTTATGGTATAAAACCTTCATGGCCCTAAGACTTCCTTAAAAGACTTCTGACAGTATAAATAATGGATAAATAATAAAGTAGAAGGAAAGAAAGAAGGAAGGAAGGAAGGAAGGAAGGAAGGAAAGAAAGAGGAAGAAAGTGGGAAAAAAGGAAAGAAACAAGGAGCGATCAGTTTGAGAAGCAATCGGAGACTAAAGAACAACTGAAAATACTGGACGAGGAAGGAGAAGGCAGGTGAATATACCTCAAGGCCTTTGCATTTGCTGATCCCCTAAATGAAATGTTCTTTACTTAAATCTTCACACAACTCATTCATTTTCATTTTTATGTGAAAATATCTTACTTTATACTTTTTCATTGTTTCTATCCACCTCGCCCCCTCCATGGAACCAGGGATTTTGTCTATCCTAAAATAGGGTTAGCACAAGATAGGTTCTCAACAAGTCTGTTGAATGAATGAATGAATGAATGAATGAATGAATGAATAGGAAGTATAAGTTGCAGGGGATGGAAGTTGCACATTGGAGGAGACAGTGTCTGGTCAGAGCAGCAAGCGGCATAACTACAGTAAGATCTATGTTCTCAGATAGATCAGCTTAAGCATTGATGATAGTGTCAGGTAGACCTGTGACTTCAGAGATGATTTGCAGAGCTGACATTATCTATAATGTCAGCAGTTACCATATATTTCTCATTGGAGGATATCAGTTCTCCGTTTTCCTAATTGATTCCAGTAACATAGATACCCTGAGTGCTGTATACAGCTCGCTGATTGCTGGGCAAACATTATTGAAGTGTCAATATTTGCTCTTTTTCCTAGAGCATCATCTTCAAAAAGACTGCAATTCATTTGGGGACACTTCTCTTATATTTAATGCACGGGAAATGCCGATACAAACTAAATCTTCATTTTATTATGCTTTCCCCTTGCTCTGGTCACAGGGATAGCTTGACTTACCAGCTACCATGGCTGTCCTTAGGCAGCTCCAGAAATGTTCCCATGAGATGCTGCTATTGGCAACAGCTACATAGTGCTATTTCCACCTTTTCTGATGAGCC